TCTTGTCTATGGGCTTACTGAGGTCCACCGCCTGGGGGGGGGGGGGGCACAGACCAACAACACGACAAGCTTTTAACGGCTGGTTCTGGTTTATAAACGGCAGATTTCATAAGTTCTGATGGTTCTGATGCCACACAGAAGGAAAAAGCTCACAGTTTCTGTGTGTTTTCTCATCTAAAATATCACGCCAACAAACTAGCATTCAAAGGGTTAAAATCCGGATAATTACTCACAACTTGATGATTTTGATCAAGACTGTTAATTCAACGATTGCACCTAAAAAAGCTGCCAATAAAATGAGGAAAAATCTGTTTTTGTTGCAGTTTACGGGCTGTTTTGCTCTTAATGACTGGTTGGATGCTACACGACAACAAAAAATGCGACAAATTTGTGGCAGATTGTCACTGTTTCAGACTTTTGGAGCAGAATCTGTAGGAATCAGAGGGAGCCGCTGACAAACGGCTGATGCAACACAGATGAAAACAGGCTCCCGTCCCACTTCTGGGGCATAAATAACCCACCAATCATCCACCTCTGCCCATGTTTTCCTCTAAAGAGCTACCTGACTTCTGAGCTCAAATATCCACTTTAAACTGCTGCTCTGCTGAGGCTCATCCCTTGAGTTAGGGGCCTTTTTTCTGCTTGAATCTTTCATGGATCAGAGTTAAGTGGATTAAGAAGAAAAAAATACATTTTTTTCCTTCTGAAAATGGATGAAAAGGCAGCCAACGTCCAAAATAACTTAACTCAAGAGCGTTTCACAAGACTAATAATAATAATCTGGAAGCAAAAGGAAACGCTGAGACTATCTGTATGTTTATCAGGGATGGATTTGAACTGATTTAACCAATCGTTTGTGGCAGCAGAGACAAAGAAACTACACAGACAATGTCTCCGCTCTGAGATCCGCAGATGATTATCACACCACTCGTGTGAACGAGTCCGGTAGCAACCGGGAACCGTGTGGAGCCCGAATCGGATCCATCCGATTCTGGCTGAGCTCGTCCTGAATGCAACACCTGCTCCGTGAGCTCATCGCACCCCCCAAACGCACCATCTGGCTGGGTCATGATTCCCATGATGATGCCCATGATGAGAACCGGAGAGCCCACGGACACGGCGTTTGCATGCAACTCATGCCCGAAGGAGAGCACCAGCATCCCGGTAGCATGCTAGGCTAAGCGGAGCTGGAGGAGGAGGAAGAGGAGGAGGAGGAGGAGGAGGAGGAGGAGGAGGAGGAGGAGAGCGAGCTCACCTTCTTGATGTT